TTTCTTTGATTCTTTGGGGAAGAAAGATAATAATTATATAAGTCTTTTGAGAATACGTCTATATTTGTATGCGTTTTTATTACTGACTTACAATGACAGCCTGGTATACTAGTATATAAAAACCAAGACTGGTATTACTTTTCTTTGTCAGAAATATGCCAGGAGGGGCAACCCCCCCCCCCTTCTTAAAATACCCCAGTGACTGCAACCACAATACTCTCGCACTATAATGTATTGACTGTAAACGTACTCCCTAAAAGTCGTTAAAAATATTATCTGTTTTATGTCTTTTGCAGGTATACCCATCAAAAAACGATTTTTATTCTTCTGCAGAACTGCTCATTTTTTTCTCAAAATGCCTCATATGCTTTACAACGCCTGGTAATGAAACTCACAGTGGCTTATCAAGGGGCAACCAAATAAATTGCCCCTGGGCCCCAAGGCCCAACTTAACCAGAGAGAATTTCTGGAAAAGGTGAAAATAAGTTGTCAGCCTTTTCATTTTTTTAAAATTTTAGTGGGGAAGAGTATCAAAATCGCCACTGAAAAGGATGGCTCTTCAAATACCCTCATATTCGAAATATGACAGGTATAACAGCTGATGAGATATGGAGCACAATTTTCATGCCATATGTTTGTGTACTTTCATAATTCATAAAGTACATTTCTGTGTACAATGCATGGGACTCTTCGCAAGACTGAGCCTATTTGTTATCATTTGTTAAGCTTTGATTTTTGTGCTACGTGATCAACCTTTCAACCTGCTCACTGACATACTGATGGGGGCTAGGGGGGGGGGAGTTCACCCCCCCACCCAATTAAAATTCAAACGTGGTTTATTTCTAATTCGATACCAGTGATTTATAAATATTGCTGGAAAGACTAGATTTTTCGTTTTTTCCCCTCACTTTTGCCTATTGTGGTAAAGACATAACTCCCGGAGGGGGGGGGGGGGGGGGAGGGGCATTGTGCCTCCAATTTTTCAAGCACCCCGAAAAAGCTCCTTTTGACATAGGACATTTGCCCCATTTATTTTCTAACAACTGTCCTTATCCTCTCTTTTCTTCTTTGTGAGTACGTCTTTTTAAGTGCGAGAAATTCCCCTTTTCACTTTGATATTTTTGCCCTTTTTTTTACTTTGATTCGTGCCCTAAGCTTTTCCATTTTAATAAGTGTACTTTTCCTTCGTAATGAAACCCTCTTTCCTTTCTCTCAAATGCCACATTTCATCTCTGATAAGTGCTCCTTTTATTTTGACACATGCCCCTTTCATAAGTGCCCCTTTTCTTTTTTTTTTTATAATTATGAGCCTCTCCCCCTTTCCGAAATGCCCCATTTAACATCTGATAAATGCCCCTATCAAAATCTGATAGGTAATATTTTCCTTCAACAGATTCCCCATTTCCATGCCCACAAGTGCCTTTTTTTCTTTTCAGTGAGTGTCTCTTTTTAGGTGCAAGAAGTGTCATTTTCACCTTTGATAATTGCTCTTTTTACTTTGACACGAGCACCTTTTCTTTTCGAATAAATGTCCTTTTCTCTTTTGATAGGTGCCTTCTTTTCCCTTCTCCATAACATGCAACCCTAATTCAAGGTGAGTTATAAGCATAGAGATATTAGTAGTATATATCTCTATGGTTATAAGTCACGTTTTCTTTAATTTTCCCTAGAGCTCGCCCTCTACGCTTGCTCGCATATTTTTTTTTTATAGATGTTATAATTATTATGCTAGTACTTATAAGAGAACTTTTCCGTCCGTCTTAGATTTTTCTTAATACTCGCAATAGCAGATATATATTTTTCCTAAACCAGCACAACATTTTTTAACATGCGACCTTCAAGTTTGACTTTAATAACTCAGAAATATAACATTAAAAATATGCAGGTAGCATTTATATTTTATTCAATTACATGATCCTACATATTAAGCGTTCATGATTAGACAGCCTCATTCAGGTCAAGTTTTATAAGGCAAATTAAATGCAGATTAAATTGAGCAAATAGTACATTCCTAGTTTGATACTTTTATCTTTCTATCTTCCTGTCTTTTATTCAAGTTATATATATAAATTAGTAAGAAAATAAATAAATAAATAACTACCAAATTTAAAAATGTCTTCAAATGATTATTTTTTTATATCAGATCATAGATGTATCAATTTTCTTAACATACATCAAATACATTAAAACAAAGAAAAGCAATGCAAAACAAAAATAAGGCAAATTATAAGAGAAATAGAGATAATCAATGATTTCAAATCCTTTAATGATCCTTACTTCAAAGAACTCACATTACATGTATAACATCATTCCTTGTTTTCTTTATTTACATTTCTTAAAACACAAAAACATTCAAAATACAATATGAAATGATGAATTACACTTAATCTTGAATAGAATATACAATGTGTGTTTAGATGAAGATCGTACATACATCGATAACCTGGAAGCATTTTAGTTTCATATACATCAGAGTTCAAACATAATGACACATTTCAAGCAATACAAACAATTACATGTCCTATACACCATTGGTTCTACACAAGCATAGTTATTTCTGAATTATGCACCTCCAGTTTAGTAAAGGGGTAAGGATTAGGGTAACCCTAATCCACATGTACACCTAATCCTTACCCTCAATGTGACTCTTTACCAAAACATCACGGGTGAACAGAGAACCAATGATGCATATGACTATTGGAATATCCACATCAAAATATATTCTGGCAAATTGTATACCTTCAGTTTTGAAAGATGTGCTATATGCCTTTCTCCTGTAGAAAAAATAAAGAATTGAAGATCTTACGAACATATTCTCTTTTTTGATGGAAATAAAGTATCTTTGGAACCACCCATCAACGAAAATAATATTATTCTTTTTCTTCTTAAAAGACATAAACTGTTTCTGAAGCTTGGCATGAGTTGAAAAAGCATATATGAAAATCACAACAAATAAAAAAAAACATAATAGCTGCAACTTAAACCATTGAAATACATGCCATAATTAGTGACTAATAAATTTCATTCAAAATATTAAACTGAATATGACTACAAAGGCTTTAAGCTGACACATATTTAGCAACCACTTACTGTTTGTTTTTTGGTTGTAGTGTACAATGTTTCTCAAAAAATATCAATTTAGTTTTCTTTACTATCGGCAAGGTAGAAATGCTTCATGTACGCTACATTGCAGGAACTTATCGTGCATGTATCATGTACTATACCTTCAAATCAGGCATGATGATTGAATAGCATAAATCAATCAAAGATACAAAATATTCTGTTTATTAAAAATATCCAAGACCTCTTCCTGAAAAGAGAAATGCTTTCAGACACCAAAATTGTTGGCCTCTGTTTTGTCATACTTTTGCATTTTCTCTGCTCTCTGTGGAGAAAACCATAAACAAGAACACAAAAGAGTACAAGGACAAACATCTCTTACAGCATTCTTTTCAACATTTTCAGTTGTTTTTCTACAAATATCAACGCAACTCAAGTGACTATCGAAAATTCATTCAGGGATACCCCATAGATTGACAATGTTGTTCTCATAAAGCCCTAAGAAGAGTTGTCAGAAGACCCATTGTACAATCTTGGAAAGGCCACTGATCTTGTGAACCTTCAGAAATCTTCTCAGAAAGCCTGCAAGAGCGATATTGTCGGTCTCATGGTCTACAGCCGACCCATTCAAGAATAACGTGCACTAATTTTTTCATTCATTTTATCTATAACACAAGAACACAACGATTGGCAAAAAGGGGTGCTCTATTGTACAGTAAATGCTGCAGAAGTGTAGCAGGCGTCTTTGCAGTGCACAGAGTTTGCGTGTTATGACAATATATTTGTGTACCTTAAAAAGCTTGCAGATGGCTTGCTGTAACGTTTGCATATTGATAATTGAATTCCAAAAAGATTATGTAAGGGTAAAATTGTGCTTCACATTTCTATAAATACAAGCATTATAGATGGGCGTATCCACTGGACCCCCCCCTGCCCCCACGGCAAATCTGGATCCACCAGTGAAGGAATTACTCATTGTTTTAATCTATAACATTATAACTATATTTCACAAAAACAGGAGGTAAAATAAAAAATCAAATTGGGTTAAATTTTCAGGACAAGAAATCACCTTTAAACCCAAACACCCTCTCCAACCCCCCCCCCCAAAAAAAAAAAGATAGAAAATAGTGTCTCAATATTGTAAAGCGCTTTGATATAAATGTCTTATAAAAAGCGCTATATAAGTAAAAGTTATTATTATTATTCTGTTACTATGAGACTGCCTGGATGGTTATACAGCTTTTGGAAGACCCATCTTAGTTTTCTCTGTTTACATATTATTCGTAAGTATCACTAATTTGATGAACAAAAATGTTTTGCAAGATACAATGTTTTGGAAAAATAGATGATTTATAAACCTTTAGGATATACCAGTAAAACAATATATATATCATTTATGAGAAGAAGAAAAAAGAAAAAGTACAAAATATAATTCAACATACTCTTTATCTCATCAAAAATAACGACAAAAAATTATCATTATACATGTAAAGGGGAATAAAAGTCAATGATAATTTGTGGTAGGGTGTCAAAGATGAGCTCACTTTTAAAAATAATTTCTATGAATAGACCAGTTCACGGTTAGCACATTACTGCAATGACCCCGAATATCCACAGATCTTCAAAACATGAAGAGGTCCCACTTTGTACATTTTGAAATAATCACTCCTACAGCGATGGAGGTGCTACATAAATAGCCTTTGTTTACCCTTTTCAAAGAATACTTCCACCTGTGTATCATGGAGTGCATAAATGAATAATGATTACATAACTTTCATGAGCACGTTTCCAGTATTTTGTCTCCGTGTATTTCACAATTTGTTCTGCAATGACCTGTATCTGCACATGCGCAGACTGCAACCGTGAACTGGCTTATTAACAAGAGAAAACAAGAATGAATATAATTCCCCAAAAATAAAGTGCTTTGAAAACAACAGGTGCCCAATATCCCAGAGCAAACTTTATTTACAAGCAATATGAATCAAGGACAACCATTATCAAACAGTTTTTTGAAATAGAAAATCCAGATATATATCAGCATAAAATATATCCATTCGTTCTTAAGTGCTCTTTTAAACAATTTCTAAGCAGAAAATATGTGTATCATATATTTTTTGTTTTGATTTGACCAGGGCTCTTATTGAACTTTCCAGAGTTAAAGCGCTCTCGAATTCAAAGCATACCAGTATTTGTCACTGACAGATCTTTGTAATTAAAGAAGAAAAACAGTCACAGATAGTCAGATACAAAATGAAATTTATGAACTTTTTATATCTTTTTCTTTACAATGTTAAAGCAAGTGAATCTGTTGCCTGGGCAACTAATCATAGGATTTACTTCCATTATTGGGAGATCTGTCAAACATTTTTCTTAGCACCCTAGTGAGAAAGAAAAAAATCCCTAAAAGGTAAGTATGAAGGCCTATTATATTTAAAATAGCAAGCTGGAAAACTAATCAATGTAGCATGTAATGTAATGCATGTAATTAATGGATTTATCAAAGAGCTCCTGGCTTTTCATATTAATTACATTAATAGAGCTTGGTTTTTACCCAAGTGCCTCACGTATGAATTAATGCTATCATTGTACTGGCAATGTGGAATGTTTTTTTTGCAACATTGCACAAAAAAGTCTTCAAAACGGGACAATATAAATGAAAAATCAATAGACTGATTTGAAGATCAACATCTGGCAGAAATGCTTTTGTGTGTGGGCAAAGTACCACAGCAAGTTCACCAACAATGATAGCCCGTACGGCAGAGAAAAACACATTCTATTCCACTTATTTATATTTATGTCTGGATTATGATTTTTATCCCATTATGTGAAAGCATTTAACTATCCACATAAAAAATGCTCATGAGAAATATGTGCACAAGCAGTATATTAATGAAGTGAAAATGTAAGGGTTGGTATTGATTAAATTTTTTTTTTAAATCTCGGTTTCACTTCCGGTTGAAAGCTGTATAGAGTTTGCATACATACACACTCAAAAGTAGCTAATTTATGAAAGATGCTTAGAGACATCGTAGATGTATTAGGCGCTACATAAATCTAGAACATTATCATCATCATTAATTTTACCTGAAGTAGGCAAACATTTCAGACGTCACGTAGAGTGCCTTCCAACAACTCATCTGTACTTGAACTCAACAGTATCAGCACCTGTTTCGTACAACACAAGATGATAGCCTCCAAACTACGGTTGGCAGTCAGTATGACCTCATCGCTGTGATCAATTCCTACCTCACCTTGAATCAGCTTTAACTGCTAGCTAATTGCCAGAAGGAAGAAATATACACCTTTAATGGAAGCATCCCTCTATCTATTTGCGTAGTAGTTTCGTAGTGCAATTCTGAATACTCATGGACTGCCATAGACCACAGGGCAGGGTTTCACAAATCAATCGTTGGCACAAATTTTCAGACATTCCATTGAAGCACCCGTTTTAACATCAACAACAATTTCAATAGAATGTTGCCAATTTTGGTATCACTGGTGGATTTGTGAGACACTGCTCAGGTCGTCTGTTAAGAACCAGAAGGCTGTTAACTATATTGGTTAAGAAGATTCAGTATGAATTCACTGTAAAAGTTCTACATCCATCTAAGAATGGCTGTGACCTACAATTAATTAGATTTGTCACATACCAAAGGTCGACTGTAGAGGGTAAGGAGGGCGTTTATACTCCAACCTGATTCTGTGACAATAGCCATAACAATTGGTCTTTTTTTACCCATCCAGAACAATATTTATCATCATTAGGTTTTGCCCGATATCTTGAATCACAGTCCTAAACAAAATATATCGAACTCATGAGCAAAGAATGCAAATATTTCTGAACAGTCGCGGCTCATTTTCTTTTGCATTAGCAAATATTACATGATACAAGAAATAACATAACATTAACTTAACTTTATTAAATTGGCAACGTGCTCAAATTCATGAATCTTAACTCTTCAATTTAATTTCATTTAAGTATTTCCACCTTCTTGTTGAAATGGTGTCACAGTAAAGCAATTATCAGCACTGCCAATTTAAAGAAGAGAGAGATAATCTATTTCTCCCTTTCAAAAAAATCCTGGTTTTAAATGGGTCAGAAAGAAAAAGGAAAGAAGTGATACTACAGTCTTGTGCATGGAGCCAACTGTGTAAGTAAATCTAAGAAATCTTTAAAACATCCAACGAATAAACAATTACTCAACATCCGCATCATTTGTGAATATCATCACATACACATGTATAGAAAGTGTCCCCAACGTACATAATTCATAACCCACGTTAATAATCATTGTGAGAATGGGGACGACATGAAACTTCGGCACTCTTGATTGAAGAAAATTGAGGAACAATGGCAGGTGCAAAACTTGAAGTCCGCAGAGGAGGATGTTAATTGTCCTTTTTGTCCGCTTCCTCCTCATCAGAATAGTCGGTGGGCTCCTCATTTGGCTTCAGGAGTTTCCCGATGTAGTCATACTTTTCTGTTTGAGGAACATCAAAATAGTAGAGTTAGAGCATACAAAGAAAAAGAAGAGAAAAGAGAAATAAAATGAAATCAAAATCACAATATTATAATGATGATAGAGGTGTTGAAAAATAATAAATTAATGAAGACAGGGATAGGGGAAAGAGAGGTAGAGTTAAGATACCAGGATCAACAAAGAAAATATAAATAATTGGTTAAATTAATTGGTAATATGGTTAAATTGAGAAATACAAACATAGCATAATTTGGGGAATGATTTGGAATAACTTTTAACTACTAACTAGCCATACAAAAAGACCTTTGATTGATTATAAAGTCAACATAATCATCATCAAGATATTTGTTCATTATATTTGCAAATACTTGGACAATTTGTTCAATCAAGCACGTGATTGTCAAGGTGCAAAGTTGGTGATTTGTATAATACCAGCAGGTCTACTTTTTGCAAAAAGTTGGCAAGTCTAATAGTCTATAGCCTTGCCTATACTGGAAACGTTGAAATTCAATCTGGATACATAGAAGTTTGTAAAACCATTATTCTAGAATTAGGTAGTTTAGACTCAAAGATCATGTGTTCAACTGAATGAATGAATACATGTTGACCTACACTTGAGATAGTAATTTAATATTTTCAAAGGTTTAATTAAATTTGTAAGTTCATCAACCTTAAGATTTCTATGAAGGTTTTTTTCCAAAGGATGGCAATCCTTAAAATGAAAACAGAATAATCGATCCCCAATTCCCTATTAAATGTAATTTTTGAAATTATGATCCCTATTTCATTTTGGGAATTGTGAGCCATTGGATAAAACAGCCTTTCAAAAATAATGGAACTTTTGCATACTTCAGAGTTATACAACAAATGTTTAGAATCATTTATTCTTTTCATTTTCAGAATTATAAGTAAAATCATGTTATGGAATTATGTTTCACCTGATTAATGAAATTTCATAAAAAATAACCGTTGGTAAAGTAAGAGCCCCCTGAGAAATCAGAAGCCTGCCATACTTGGTTAGAGATGGCCCTGGAGGACTTTAGGTGGTCAGTGGCACCTGGGCAACTGCTACATCACATCGAGAGTTCAGTGACACAAAGACGTAACTCCATATTTTGCCAAATGAGTATTTGATATCAAAATGTTCAGAAAAATGTGGGCTTTCCAGGAAACACAAAGACTTAACTCCACCCATCACCCCATTGAAGTCAATGGCTAGTGTAACATACACTTAACTCCTTAAGGCCCAAGTGCTCAGTAACTTTAAACCACTTTTTCTCAAAATGGCCAAAATGGAGTTATATCTTTGTGTCACTGACCCCTCGACATGTACTTTTTTTTATCTTTTCCGATATTTACCCATAAACTGCATTTCCCATTCTCTCACGCTGTCCATCTGTTCGGAGGTGAGGTCTGAAAGCTCATCAAACTCGTCTTTCAAAGTTTCCTTTTCCAGTGAGAATGTCGCTAACGCTCTTGATGCATCATGTCCAGCAAAAACACCATAAGGGCCCTCTGTGATTATAAAAAAGAGAAATCAGAAATTCTTAGAGTCAACATGATACATTTGTAATCTTTTGTCAGGTAATCTATGTATAAGTATGATGAGCTTTGACTCTCTCTCTACTGAAGTTATACAAATAGTAGCGGATTCAAAGGTTGGGTAGGGTGGGGAGGGGGTCCGGGGGGGGGGGGGGGGGGAACCAGATTTGGATCTGGCATACCTTAAGAACACAGTGAGCAAGGCATTTTATATAATTATATTGCCCCCTCTCCACCTAGGTGTTATATGGGTACCCAGTAGAATGCAAAACGTCATCGTGGGTTGATTAGCATACATGATATGCATGCTCATCAAAAGGCAACTAGCTGGAATGCTCCCCAAGGAGAGGAGAATGTGCACTGTTATGTGCAGAATAGTAATTGTAGTAATAATAATAATGTAAGTACTTTGGTCAGTTACCGGAAAATTGCTACATAATATAAGAAATAATATTATTATGAAAAAGAAAATGTGCCCTCTAATTTTGCCTCCCCAACCCCTGCAGCAAATTAAGACCCCAACAAAAAAGTGCATCTCGTTTGATCATTTGCTTGTCCCCCCCCCCCCCCCCCCGGCCCCACCCTCACCCTTGTGAAAAACATATATGTAAGTGGAAGCTAGAAAGTAAGACCAACAGCCTTTTCACACACAGCTAAAATTCATCGTATCTAGAGATGATTAGAATCACTCAACAGTTTTAAACATGTTTATAGACAAAATTTCCCAGTGTGAACATCGTTTATACGATGTTGGGATAGATACGAAGTCGCGTTCCATACGCCCCTAAAAGCAGGCTGCAGATACGAAGTTCGTATCTAGAGAGCTTGACATTTTGTGTGTGAAAGGAAATTCGTGTTTAAACGTGTTTAAACTGGATGGAGCGTGCGCTTTGATTGACATGACATGACCTTCAATGCGCAATGGCACTACTGCGCATTTTACGAGCAGAAGTTAATCACGAAACTATTAACGATCGCAACGAAATTTCTGTGTGTGAAAGGCTCGTGATTAGTTTAAACACGTTCGAAACACGTTTATACTAGTCATGTTTATAGAATTTTAGCTGTGTGTGAAAAGGCTGCAATTCAGGCCAACAGGCCTCATACACTGTATACATGTACATGTATATTAGGATACATGCCTTTGGCAACAGGCCTTTGGAAACAGGTTGTTTCATGTTGTTAAGCCACGTAGAGAGATTGGTGTTGTAAATGTACATGTATAAAACCAAGAAGGTTAAACCCCCCCCCCCCCCAAAAAAAAAAATAAATAAATAAATAAATAAAAGATGGGAGACTGCAAAGGTACCAAGGAACCCTAGTTGTATTTCTTTTAGGGTATGTTTATGCTCAACTTTTTCTGGCCAGAATCAGGCATCTGTTACGCGTTTAGTTTAAAACATGGTTGCGTCCTTTTCTCACTTTTGTAGAATCACTCACAAAAAGGTGCGTTTACGATCGGCGATTCTGGGGAAGCATAAATGCACAATCATTGGTAAACGCGTTTAAATGGGGTCAACGCACTGACCTCTAGTGGGTCTACGTAGCATGCGCAGTGCAGGTTTGCGAATCCAGCTGCAAGGCCACCCAGCGAGAATTGTCTGGAGGAGCCAGAGAAGTGAGCATAAACAGTACACCGTGGAACTGCGATTACAATGAGCGTTTACGATGAGCGTTTCAAATCGGTCATTCTGCCTTCAAAATTGAGCTTAAACGCACCCTTAGAATACACTCAGATGAAACTCTGAAATTTAAGATGGAAATAAAGACTGATTAGAGATTCTAAAACTACAACTTCAAGGCTTCACGCTAACAACCTGCCTAACACAGTTATAAATGATTTCAGATAATGAAATACTGTAGGCAGTTCGAGTCTAAAGGTCATGTCTAAGGACCTGTGAAATTGAAACTAAAAAGAAGCAACAATTGTCGAGACACAGTGCTTTGAATGACAAAGCACATGTATTCCATTTTCAACATGATTATCAGGTTGAGTCCCTGGAATAATGCATAAATCACTGGACTATATAAAGTACACGTCTCCTTACTCCTGTGTCAACAATCAGCACAGACTGCAAACTGGAAGGTACAAAAATCAGCCCATACATATTTACTCTTGAAGGCTACCCTAGTAGAGTATTCAAGATAAGCATGCCACATGATTATGTATACATAATGAGGGCTGAGCTATAAGAAAAATAGATTCCGTGCATTTGTAGTATACTGTATTTCAGAAGTGTCTTGGTATTTAAAAATATATATGTTTATGTATTCTTTCATCAAAAAGTTAGCTTGAAATAAAGTTGGCATGCAACCTATGATTTTTAAAAAGGCGGATTGTATAATAAATAAATTAGGAATTCACTTCTCAAAGTCAAGAACAATGTGCATGTAGGTCTGTCTAACATGTACAGCACATCATCTCATCACCTGCTGAACAATCAAACTTTTAGCCGAAGCAAATGAAAAGATCATTAGTTTTCATTACCATCTTTCCAAATATCAAACAGACCACTATTTCTAAAAAGTTTTTACTGAGTTTGGTATGTTTCCTCTGTATAGAAGTGAACCGTCTGTGGAAATCTAACTTTACATTAAAAAAAAAAAAAAAACAGCATGTACCTTTAAGCCGTTGAGGATAATGCCAATGAATTCTCTGGCTGGAGTTTATGAGAAATGTATGTTATAGAATAAAAACATCGTCAAAGGGTTAAGTTGATACATACTGTACATGTAGATTAGAATAGGCTATTTTCAAAATTTAATCAAATTTAATGCACAAATCTTTGTAAGTGCCTCGTTATAAATTATTTCATACACCTGTTACAAATAATTGTACTGTACATCAATAGCTGGAATGAGAATTGCATATGTACATTAAATGTTGTTAGGTAGGACAAGAAATAAAGTTTGGCCTACTTAGCAACAATTAATATATAGTCTGGTCTGGTAAGGTCTATTGCCTTTAAACCTGTACAGTATTGTAAAAAATTAACCAGCATACGTCTAGGCAAAAATAGGATGGTCTAAAAAAAGTAGTTCAAGGCAAAAGTACTATACACTGTACATTCTTAGCTTCTGCTACATAATCAATCTAAAGGTCTGTTTTCATTAGTCTTCTGGAGTTAAAAAAAAATTGCCTGTTGATTCTGGACTGGGGAGGTTAACCTGACTACAACTACACTGTACATGTAGCACAAACTACACAACTGAACTGTGCAGATAAGAGACAATTAGTGGACTATTTCCCCATTGTGCTTGGGGACTTTAGCCAAGTTATCATGCCAATCAAATTAAGGTTTAAAATAGGCCACTATTTGACCAATTAGTGCCTAATTCGCCAAGGAAGGTGTCCTCGGATTATGGTATGCTCTAAAGTTCTAGGTAATTCCCTGACCAAGCCAATTTGCTTGGCTCAGGCTAATGTAGACCATTTCAAGCTGATTTGTCTCATACATGTATCTTACAATCTCAAGACTCAAGCTTGAGCTCATGTGAGCTAATGAAAACAAGCCAACCCTGTATACAGCTCATAACGTCCTTGTGATTTTTTTCTTTTTATAGACAACAATGCAATTATTGCGGTTAGTGAATACTGAATGGCATTCATCATGTATGTGCAGATCCCCTCTAAACATTGATCCAGGGATGCATGGCTTCAAGGACTGCATTAGAAAGGGCTTCTAACGGTAAACACTAACATTTGACAAAAAACATATTTCCTCCAAACCTTTATTTTTTTTAAATTATGGGACTTTGTAGTTATAACCTTCACCATAAGGACTAAATTATTCATACCCCTTGTTAATTTGATGCTTTTTGTGTTTTTTCATAAGTCAAGAACTTGATGTACATTTTGGGGACATTTATGATTAGTAGCGCAATGTTACCTAAACATAAGTGCAAACCACTTCAAGTCTTCGAGGATTTTATACTTTCATAATTTGTGCCATATTGTGAGAAACATGATTCTTTTATAAGTGCAATGTAACAGTAAATCATATGGAACATGGTTTGGTTTTCTGACGCACCTAAGCCTACATGTACATGCAGATTATTTTGGATTATACTGGATTAGTTTAAATTAACATCAACTTTACATGAACATGGATATGTACATGTACATTTCAGGCCTGTACAAAGTTACAAACTACACAACTATTGATGTAAGGTACTGTCTGTAAGTACATGTACGGTTCATTGCACATTACATTTATCACAGACAAAGCTGTCTGTCCTTTGTGCTATTGTGCCGCTGATAAATGGAATTTTTTACACTCCTTACTGACTGCAATATCAAGTGACCTACATGTACAATTGCATGAATATAAATGGTACAACTTTAACATTTCCCCCCAAATACGGTATATACTTCAGGCCAACAATACAAAGCTTGAGTTATGATTTACAACAATAATCTGATACATGCTTTTAAATACATGTTGATGTTGTTACTTTCTGCTCCTGCAACTGACAAAGAGCAGACCATTTCCTATTTTGGAGACAGTCTCTCATTTGATTTGGGATATCAATTTCCTTTATTTACATTTGCTCATTTTGTTGCATTATCCCATTGCTTGGCACAAAATAAAATATTAGCAGATATCTAGTATCTACCAATATTTCTTAACAGCTTTTGTTAAAGATAAACTCCAGTACTGGTAAAAAAAAAAAAAAATTCTCACAGAATCAAACGAAACTTACACTATATGTTCAAGATTACAAATAAATGACATGTGCCAAACAATTTTGGAAGAAAATGTATACTGGCTGAGTAATGAGCATAGAAAGACAAGGAAATCAAGGTAGTACTAGCCCCGACACCATGTGTGTTGTCCCATATATAGCTTTTTATGTGAGTGCTTGTTACTTTACCAAGACTCGGTCAAATTTATTATGATTTTGATGACTCCAGAACCTTGCAGTGCACACCAATACTTACATGCTACATGATCAACTGTTTCTGATCCTTTCCACACCTTTTCTTTCACAATGCAATCGCATTACCAGTACTAAAGTTTATCTTTAAGATTCCCACATAATACTAATTGCAATGGTCTCCTGTACTCAAAGAGGCTAAAATTTGGCTGGGAAAAAAATAATATTCCACTTTTATATAGCGCTTAATACAAATGTCTCTAACAAAGAGCTTTACAGATATACTGCCATTTAGTTGCCATTTGTTGGTGTTGTTTTTAGTTTTGTAAGAAAGCAAGCAAACATCAAGAAGCTTGAGATGGTTCCACAGCGCTATATGTCCGCTTCATCTTCAATGACTACCGCAGTCCTGACAAGCAGTGTAGAAGCCATACTGAACCAGCTCAAGTGGCCAACATTACAAAAATGCAAGGCACTGTCACATGCTAAGGTGGTGATGATCTATCATATCACCAACTCGCTGATAGACATCTCACACACTTTCCTCACTCCATCTAGATCTGCATCCCTGGCTGTATAGATCTAGAGGGCATTCCAAGAAATTCATAGTTCCTTTTCCCTGAAAGCTAGTCTACTAGAGGAGCATCTTCCAAGATGCAGTAAGCCCCGGAGTCGGACTCTTCTGAGCTCTGGAACTCCCTCTCTCAGAAGAGTGTTAGGCCTACCGTTATTGTTAATTGTGTCTTGTCTGTGACGTCTACAAACATAAGCTTTCAATGAGTTTCATTATTGTACTGAATGAAAAGTAAATAAAGTAGTCTAACTCTAAGTATGAAGGGGTGACCAAAGTTCGCGGATATTTTTCTTTTCTTGCATATTTCAAAAAATCCAGATCAACATATATCATGTTCCATACGTCATAAGATTCGTAATTTATCATATAATCAGATTATATAACATTCCAAGGCTTTATTTACTTCAAATCAATGATAAGACGAGAATATCGGAAGCCTTACCACTACCGACGTCCGTCAAAAAGTGTGACCTAAGTTCGCGCATGATATTTACTGCCCTCTTGTGATGGGCTTTATATATGTAAACATTCCAAAAAGTTACGTAGTTTCAATCAGAAGCCGAACTTTATATTGAAACTTTGAAAAATATAATAATTTCTCTCTATCATTGAAATATTGCCCGATAAAAATACCCTTGTTAAATTTTGCAAATAAAAGACAATATTTTTCAATGTTTATGTGTTAATGTCAATGTAGTCCCTATCTGCATGTCATTTGTTTGTTTGAAAAAATTATCATGTGTCTCCATTTTATATGTCAGCCATACACGAGTTCTCGCTCTTTTCTCCCTTTGTCTCTCCTCTTTCCCCTTTTAAATTTGTATTCTTACGAACCATAGATTCATTGAAATTCACAAACACAGATACGGTGGAAGCAGGCGCGCAGGTTCCGTTTTTCGCGTAAGAAATTGGAATTTTATCATTATTTTTCGGAGTCGATCCCTCTAATAAACTGATTTTCATGTAAAAAAAAACACAATTTGTTATGATAAAAAGCGTGAAAAAGCTAGCTTATTCACATTTTTATGCCGCATTTTGACCTTTGGAGTTGTCGACGGTGCTCAAAGATTTCGTTGTCTCAGTCCCACACAGGCATCGCGTATCGTTCTCCTGTTATAAGCGCTTTTAGTGTTAGTACGCGAACTTTGGTCACGCGCGAACTTTGGTCACACCACCATATGTGTACAGTGTGATGACCTCTCCTGTCTCAGGACTTAAATCTAAATTTTAAAGTTGAACCAACTCAACCACTGAAGTGAGCTGAACCAGTGAGTGACCAGTCAACATGCATCTTGATCTTCAATTAAGTTCAACTGAACAAGTTAGATTTCAAGATTGATCAGTGTTATTGTTAAGTACATTTAAATTATTTCATATAGATTCTAGGTCTATTTCACACAAACCTGGGCCATAAAACTTTCTTCCTCTCGAGACATCAAAAACTTTTCCATTCACAGCAACCAAGATGCGTCCTTCGTTTTTAATACCATCATATTCGGTCAGTTCTGATACCTGGAAATCTTTCCTCTTCATCTTCGGCAGACGAGGCGGCTGTGGAGGCTCCGGTGGTGTTCTGTTGCCTCTGACGATTTTATAAAGCAAATAACCACATACCGACAAGAGACCAAGGTTGATTGGATTTAGAAATAGTTCACGCATCAGCTCTTCAAGCGCCATGATTAGTCCTTTATTTGTAGATTTTTTGCTAATAATTGCTAAATCTATGAAACTGATGCTACCTGTCTTGACCAATCTGCATGCTTTAACATGTAAATTCCCATATAGACTTTGCGTGCAAATGTTTCGCACATAAAACGGCGTCTGCTAGTCAGTTTACAACACGTATATAACGTACCGGTACGTACGTGGCCTGCGCTACGGAGATCGTACGATTTGCATTGGTCTTTATGCGATAACGTTACAGCGCGCGCGGGACAATTTGATAAGATTTTTTTTCCAGCTGTACCTCGAGGATGTAGTGGGTGTAATCCATAGAGATATATATAGATAATGGTGTAATCATAAACCTCATTGTATTAGGTTCATGATTAAAAGCATTTTTGGCGGATCCACTGTCCTATTTTGGAATTTTATATCTGTTGGTCCTCTGTTGGTGTATTATGGAGTTCAAATTTCTGATAAGTTGCAGCTCCTCGGTCCCCTCCCATCATTACACCATGAACCTATATAGGACAGTGGATCCGCCAAAAATGCTTTGAAAACACTATGGCTTACATCTCTTTCTGATTGCATTTTGTTTTCATTTGCTCTAAATAATCAGTTGCGGGTCGCTCGACATGTGCTTACGAAGCCCGTTCTGTGAAACTGAATGAAAGAAAGAGAATAGAATCAGAGAAGAAGATATATGGAGAGACATAGGAGAGAGAGAGAGAGAGAGAGTGTGTGTCGGAGAGAGAGAGAGAAAAAAAAAAACTGTGTGAGATTGTTTTGAGTCAAACCAACCGGGTTTCAGTTAAGCTTACAATCAGAATTTAAAGACTTGGGTGCCCCTTAACCAGGCGCGGATCCAGGATTTTCCAATAGGGGGGGGGGGGGGGGGGGGGGGGCCGGAAATTTGAAAATTGCGCAGACCGTTTTTCAACTCAACATACCAAAACTGACAAGGTCATATTAGAAGCACCATATGTAATTTTTTAAAACTTTTTCATCGGGGGGGGGGGGGGGGGGGAAGGCTGAAGCCTCTCGCCCGAAAAAGTAATATTCTGGTTTCACAATTCGGCTAATGAGCGAAGCGAGCGAGCAAAAATTTGAGGATAATATGTATTTTGTGAAAGTGTTATTTATTAGCAAAATATACGAGAAAAGACAGGCGCGGATCCAGGATTTTCCAATAGGGGGGGCCGGAAATTTGAAAATTGTGCAGACCGTTTTTCAACTCAACATACCAATACTGACAAGGTCATATTAGAAGCTCCATACCGGTATTTTTTTTTGACATTTTCATCGGGGGGGGGGGGGGGGGAGGCTGCAGCCTCTTGCCCGAAAAAGTAATTTTCTGGTTTCACAATTCGGCTAGTGAGCGAAGCGAGCGAGCAAAAATTTGAGGATAATATGTATTTTGTGAAAGTGTTATTTATCACCAAAATATACGAGAAAAAATATAACAAATTCATATTCGGGCAGCTCGCTGTTACCCCCCCCCCCCCCCCCCCAATTACGCGCGAAGCGCAGAAGATTTAATGTTTCATGAAATTATTAGAGAAAGAAGAGGATTCGTTGTACCATTCTCGACTCCTAATCCTTGTCTGACTTTAGTTCCTCTCCCCCCCCCCCTGCTCTCCCCCCGCGCGAAGCGCAGAAGTTTTGACCTTTCATTAATTGATATTAGAGAAAGAAGACGATTTGTTGTACCATTCTCGACCCTTATTCCTTGTCTGAATTCAGTTTTCCCCCTCCCGCGCGAAGCGCTGAAGCATTGACCTTTCATAGTTTAATGAAATTATTAGAGAAAGAAGATAATTCGTTGTTCCATTCTCGACCCTCAATCCTTCTCTGAATTCAGATTCCCCCCGCCAGCGCAAAGCGCAGAAGCTTAACGTTTCATTAAATTATTAGAGAAAGAAGACAATTCGTTGTACCGTTCTCGATTCTTAATCATTGTCTGAATTCAGTTTCCATACCCCCTCCCGCGCGAAGCGCGGAAGCTTTGATGTGTCATTAAATCATTAGAGAAAGAGTACCGTTCTCGACTCTTAATCCTTGTCTGAATTGAGTAACCCCCCCCCCTCTCTCTCTCTCGCGCGAAGCGCGGATGCTTTGACGTTTCATTAAATTATTAGAGAAAGAAGATAATTCGTTGTACCGTTCTCGATTTTTAATCATTGTCTGAATTTAGTTTCCCCCCTCCGCGCGAAGCGCAGAAGCTTAACGTTTCATTAAATTATTAGAGAAAGAAGACGATTCGTTGTACCGTTCTCGATTCTTAATCATTGTCTGAATTCAATTTCCATACCCCCTCCCGCGCGAAGCGCGGAAGCTTTGACGTTTCATTAAATCATTAGAGAAAGAGTACCGTTCTCGACTCTTAATCCTTGTCTGAATTGTTTGACGTTTCATTAAATTATTAGAGAAAGAAGACGATTCGTTGTACCGTTCTCGATTCTTAATCATTGTCTGTATTCAGTTTCCATACCCCCTCCAGCGCGAAGCGCGGAAGCTTTGACGTTTCGTTAAATCATTAGAGAAAGAGTACCGTTCTCGACTCTTAATCCTTGTCTGAATTGAGTTCCCCCCCCCCTGTCTCGCGCGAAGCGCAGAAGCTTTGACGTTTCATTAAATTATTAGAGAAAGAAGACGATTCGTTAATCTGTTCTCGGTTCTTAATCATTGTCTGAATTCAGTTTCCCCCCTCCGCGCAAAACGCGGAAGCTTTGACGTTTCATTGAATTATTAGAGAAAGAAGATGATTTGTTGTTCCATTCTCGACTCTTATTCCTTGTCTGAATTCAGTTTTCCCCCTCCCGCGCGAAGCGCGAAAGCTTTTACCTTTCATAGTTTAATGAAATTATTAGAGAAAGAAGATAATTCGTTGTTCCATTCTCGACCCTCAATCTTTCTCTAAATTCAGATTACCCCCTCCGGCGCAAAGCGCAGAAGCTTAATGTTTCATTAAATTATTAGAGAAAGAAGACGATTCGTTGTACCGTTCTCGATTCTTAATCATTGTCTGAATTCAGTTTCTATACCCCCTCCCGCGCGAAGCGCGGAAGCTTTGACGTTTCATTAAATTATTAGAGAAAGAAGACGATTCGTTGTACCGTACTCGGTTGTTAATCATTGCCTGCATTCAGTTTCCCCCCTCCGCGCGAAGCGCGGAAGCTTTGACGTTTCATTGAATTATTAGAGAAAGAAGATGATTCGTTGTTCCATTCTCGACTCTAAATCCTTGTCTGAATTCAGTTTTTCTCCTCCCGCGCGTAGAGCGTAAGCTTCTGACGCTTCATTAAATTATGAGAGAAAGAAGATGATTCGTTGTCCCATTCTCGATTCTTAATCCTTGTTTGAATTCATTTTCAACCTTCCGCGCGAGGCGCGGAAGCTTTGACCTTTCATAGTTTAATGAAATTATTAGAGAAAGAAGATAATTCGTTGTTCCATTCGTTGGTCCTCTTACAGCCCCTACCGCCCCTAGCTACGCATGCTTTAAAGGGAAAATAAAACAATCATGATTGTGATAGCATAAATGAAAGGGGAAAAAAAGATCTATTTAAACACCAACAATGAAATAATCGCGACCGGTAGCGTCATATCTTAGTTTTGTGTTATCGGGCGAGGGCCGGGGCGTGGCGACCAAGCGAGATTTTGCAATGTAGAATGCTGAAATTATGCATTCTAGAAATCCTTTAGTCCAATATGTACGTTCTTTCCGCTACATGTATATTTCTTTCTAGCTATATATCTAAATTTCCGGGGGGACGTGTCCCTCTATCGGGCCCAAGATCGCCGCCGCTGTCCATTATCACTACCAACATGAGTTCAAATATAAGCACAAGCGAGTTGGTATGAGCTGAATCCAAATGAAGGGCCAAATAAGAGTTGTGAAGCGGCCCAACCGTTAATTTAAAATTTGACTGTTTAGTATATAGCTTCTATTTGAAAGACATCCAAAATATTGTGCCCTTTTCAATTTTTTTCAAAAAGCAGGGGCTGTTTGTAACGTTTAACTTTGAATCCGTGGCTCGAGATTTTATGTGGCCGGCCCCTCTATTCAATAACGTTTCCCAAGCCTTCTGGAATGACCCCAAATCTCCCGATTACAGTTTTTCCCTTATTCGTCGTTACTGTCACTTAGCGCCATTTCCTTGTCTTTCCCCCTTTCTCACCCGACTTTTCTCTTCCCCTTCCCACCCCCCCCCCCCGCCAACCCACTCATTGTTATCTAGGGTACGCATGTATGTTCCCTCTCTTAGTTTGAAAGCACCCCTTTATCTTCGGTGTGTATAGTCATTGCGGGCCGGATTTGTGTGTATTACGGGCCGGACTTTGTTGCGTGAAAAGTAACCCTTTATCGGAAATTTTGGGAACACAAAATCGGTCCCTCCGACCCCGGAGTGGGAGTGGGAGTGAGGTGGGGGGGGGGGGGGTAGGGGGGTATCTTCTTCTTTTTTTTCTTTCTCTCTCTCTCTTTCTCTTCTTTCTTTTCTCTTCTCCTTTCTTTTCTCTTCTCCTTTTTTCTTCTCTTCTCCTTTCTTTTTTTTCCTCTTTTTTTTTTGGCGCCGCCAATAGGGGGGGCCGCGGCCGTTTCGGCCCCCCCCCCCTGGATCCGCCACTGAAAGATATAACAAATTCATATTCGGGCAGCTCGCTGTTCCCCTCCCCCTCACCCCCCCCTCCCATTACGCGTGAAGCGCGGAAGTTTTGACCTTTCATTGATTGATATTAGAGAAAGAACCCTATTGTTGTACCATTCTCGACTCTTATTCCTTGTCTGAATTCAGTTTTCCCCCTCCCGCGCGAAGCATTGACATTTCATAGTTAAATGAAATTATTAGAGAAAGAAGATAATTTGGTGTTCCATTCTCGACCCTCAACCCTTCTCTGAATTCAGATTTCCCCCTCCAGCGCAAAGCGCAGAAGCTTAACGTTTCTTTAAATTATTAGAGAAAGAAGACGATTCGTTGTACCGTTCTCGATTCTTAATCATTGTCTGAATTCAGTTTCCATACCCCCTCCCGCGCGAAGCGCGGAAGCTTTGACGTTTCATTAAATCATTAGAGAAAGAGTACCGTTCTCGACTCTTAATCCTTGTCTGAATTGAGTCCCCCCCCCCCCCCAATTACGCGCGAAGCGCGGAATTTTTGACCTTTCATTGATTGATATTAGAGAAAGAAGACGATTTGTTGTACCATTCTCGACTCTTATTCC